TAAAAGTCTGGCCACGGCAGGAGGTGAAACGCTTGATGAGCATCTCCAGGTCAGAGCCAGCGGAGAGTCACGCGGGGGGAACAATGTCCCCGTGGGGAAGGGCTGCTGGCAGCAGGGAGACCTTTGAAGGCACCAGCCGAGGTGCTCTGGGCTGGGCTGTCGCTGGTCAGACCTGAGAGTCCCCAAGAGCGGAGGACACACGTAAACCACTGCGTTATGGGGCAAACCACACCAGGCGTGCAATTTCCTATGAAGTGAAAAGAGGATATTCTCCCCAGGCGGTTGCTTGCTGGGAGGGTCCCTGCGGGTCCAGAGGCTGCGGCCAGCTGAGTCAGAGTGCTTCCCCCCCACCATCAGCCTCCGTTGTGGCTGGGCCGGGACCTTTGTGCCAGCGATCCTGCGCCAGGACGCGTGGGAGAGGACACGGTTTCGAAGCAGCTGTGCGTGTGTGGGGAATGACCACGCTCAGGGCCCCCACGACAGCCCACTCAGGCCTGCCAGGCTGGGGTAAAACAGACACTGGCAAACAGGAACCCAGGACTTACTAACACCCCGCTCATCTCCACGGCGAGCTCCTGATTGCTGCCTCTTCCTCCGCTCTCGCAAACAAACCTTGATTTTAATTGCAAAGCTCGGAGCAAGGCACAGTGGCCAACAGGGCTGCTGGCTGCAGCCTGGGCAAAAGCCGCTGTGATACTCGCCGGGAGTAAGTGATGGCCGTGGATGCTTGTTTGCTCAGTGGTTGTGCAGCACCTTGCCTACCTCATGTGCGCAGCTCCCGGCACTTCCCAGTGAGGCTGGTGGGAAGCCCTGTGCTGGCGGTGGGGTAACTCGGGGTTCCCCTCGGCCCCTGCGAACAGGCAGGACTCAGCTCAGCCCCTCGAACCAGGGAGCTCCTTCCCATGTGCACACTTCCCTTTAAAGGTCCTTTCCAACCCAAACTATTCTATGATTCTATGACATTGGCTCCACACAAGCACCCCACCGTGCAGCTGACCGGGTTCACACGGGTACAGTCCAACATCCAGGCCAAATCAGCCCCTCGCTCCCTTCCGGAGGAGTGGGATGACAAGTACCGTTGACCAGCTCCGTGCTCAGGGAACCAGGTTCCCA